CGTCAGTTTCCTGTCTTAGGTTGAATCCACTGCAACCAGATCAACCCGTCACTGACTACGGGTCCAGCATTCAGCCATGCTTGTGGATAGGCCTATGCACCAGTGGGGGGGTGAGGTTCTTGCCTCACCTCTGTTGGCCCCCAAATTTAGCCTTGGTGCCAGTGGGAATTTTAACAGGCTTTTGAATGTAGTTGTTAGGGCTGGGGATATAGCTCAGCTGGTAGAGTGCTTGCTTTGCATGCACCACAAAGCCCTGGGTTCTAATCCCCAGTAACACACACACACACACACACACACACACACACACACACAAGACAAATGTAGTTGTAAGGTAACATGGTGAGTGACTCAACTCCTGATCATTTGGATCATCCATACATCAAATTTACACAGAATGAAAGTATATTTGCCCTATCTGGTAGCCCACCTATGAGGACCATAAAGCAGTAGCTATTCTTTTAGAAACATAACAGCTTAACAGGAAAGACAAAAATGGACAAGTTTCCAGTTGTTCTTCGTTTGCACAATCAAAATTCACTGACCACTCTGCTGAGTACTGAAGGCAGGGCACAGTAGGGGAGAGACATACAATTTCTGCCTTCAAGCAGATCTCCTTCTGCCATGGGAGGCAGGCATATTAACAGTCAGTGTCAATAGCAGGTAAGCACAAGGGGTCCGTGATAACTCAGAACAAGGGTACCTAAACCAGTGTTTTGCAGCTGAGTTTATATAAATATGAAGTAATACCATTCCTCTGGCTTTACAGGTGAGGAAACAGACTCCAGAGAACAAGTGGCAGAGGCAGTACTTTAACCTGGGCCTTTGAACTCTTGGTCCAGGGCTTTTTCTTCCTCACCACAGCTGCCTGTTTTGCTTTGTAAGTATGTTTAGGCCTAATGCAATGGCAGAAGATAATGTTCTTTTGTGTGTCCCTGCACGTCCTAGACTGCTCACTCCTTTCCAAGAGATGGATAGGAAACTGGGGGCTGGAGCACCTCCATGTGTCCAAAATGTTGTATTTCAGACATCTTTTTAAAAAGTAATGGGCTGGGGTTGTGGCTCAGTGGTAGAATGCTTGTGAGGCACTGGGTTCCATCCCAGCACCACATAAAAAAACTAAATAAACAAAGTAAATGTATTGTGTCCATCTACAACTAAAATTTTTTTTTAAAAAAAGTAATGAAAGTTTTCACAATATAAGTTCCTGTTGAAAGTTCCTCAAGAACCCAGGAGTGTGCTTCGTGTGTGTGTGTGTGTGTGTGTGTGTGTGTGTGTGTGCGCACGTGTGCACATGCTCACCTGTACACAGGTGCGTATGCATCAGAGTTTGGAGCAGGGATGGTTGGAAACATTGGCTCCTACATTTTCAACAAGCCTGTGTGGAGAGAAAATGGAAGGTGAGTCCCAACAAAACTGGCAGAAGACGACAGATGAAAACCAGTCAGAGCAGAGATCTCAGGAGACACCAGGAGAGTGGTGTCTTCTGCCCATATCTACTGCTTCACTGGCAGTTCCATACAAAGTATACAAAGGGAAAGTGGTTTTCCTTCACCATACTCCTCTTCTGGGAATTTTATGGGAATTCCCAGGTGTTGTGTGGGTCATTAGAGGAAAAAGGAATGATTTCTATTTCTGGAAATATTGCAGACTACATAGTCTGAAATCCCTCCTTGCTACAAAACACCTGGAAAACCCAGATAACTGATGGTCCATTGTTGCCAAAAGTGACATCCCATGAATATCTGGGAGCCTCCTTCCATTTCAACACTAAGGCAACTGAAAAAAATGAAGGGACCATACTTACTCCTAAGCTATCCTCCATCCATTTCTTTGGACCCTATCATTCTTCAGCTCTTGTATCCACTGGTTCACTTGACCCTTTACTGAGCACTGACTGTATATCAGGCATTGGTTGTATTTAATGAATACAAAGTTGAAGGGCATGGTCCTTACACTCAAATATCTCAGGGTGTTGGGCAGGGGCTCTTAACCAGAGCTGTACCTCAGAATCACTGGAGAAGGTTTGCAATAATGCATTCGCCTATCCTTCCCACCTCCCTCAAGATTAGAATTTCATTCTGGAGGGAAACAAATGACCTGAAATTCTTTCTGTGTTGAACTCTTAAAACCTGGAGTCTGAACAGAATCTAAAGCTTTACATGGCCCTCTATAGAAATACGAAGGGAAGGGGGCTGGAGCTGTAGCTCAGTGGTAGAGCACTTGCCTAGCATGTGTGAGGCACTGGGTTTGATTTTCAGCACCACATATAAATAAATAAAATAAAGCACCACTAACAACTAAAAAATATATATAAAAAATGAAAAAAAAAAACAAAAACGAAAAAAATGAAATACAAAGGGAAGGAGAATTTCCTCCAGACAAGATAGATGCTCAAGCTCAGGGGAAGGTGCCCAAGAGGTGAGATCTCTTCAGCAGCAATATCAAGAAATGGGTAGATTTGAGAGGCATTTTGCAGGTTGAGTCGAAGGGACTTGGTGCCTGCTTAACTGTGAGAGAGGGGTTGAAGGAGAGGAAGATGTCAAAGTGACTCCTGGGTTACTGATGTGAAAAACTGGGCACAACGTGCTTAAACAGGGAATATTAGAAGATGACAGAACTTGGAGAGAAGATGATATTTTTGGTCGTGGATGTATCTGAGCAGAAAGCCTTAGCTGGGCATGATGTGTTCTTCAATCTCCTCTACCACAGGCAATGTACCATGCTGGTCAATACTGGGAGGAATATGTCTAAGAATTCCCCATGAGCTTCTAGTACAAATCCAGATCATTTTTTTACCCCCAATCCCTCCGCCAAAATTGCTCTTGCCCAAGGCCCCTAGCAGCCCTTACACAGTGACTCACAGTGACTATGTCTTAATGTTTGTCATTCACAAACTCAGCAAATGTTCCTGAGTTTGTCACTTCTTGCTCAGTTCTCCTTCTGAACATTTGCTCCCTTCTCCTTTCGGTTCAATTCTCTCCCAGATCTGTCTCTCATTCTCACTCTTGATCTCACTCTCTCCTCTTTTCCTGTGAAGACACTCCTCCAGTCTCCTTCCAACTAGTTTCTTCTTTTGCCTGTCCCTTAAAGGAAGTTGTCCTTGATTCCCTTATGTGTCCTTTATCACTCCCTACATGATCTGAACTGCATCCATGGCCTCAAGAACTACCCTGATGACTCCCAAATCTGTATTTCCAGTCCTGATCTCACTCCTTCATCTCCACCTGGTTATCCCACAGGTGTCTCCAATTTCATATATTCCAAACCATACTCACCTTCCAACCAATACCTGCAAGTTCTCCTTCACCCCGTATCTCCAATAATGGCTCCAAAGTCCACAATCACCACACTCTACCCTCAGGCAGTCATTCCAGAGCCTCAGCCATGGCAGCCGCTGCCGGTGCCACGCCGATGCCACCGCTGCTGCAGCTGCCCCTGCCGCTGCAGCCGCCACCACCACCGCCGCCTCCTCCTCCTCCTCCTCCTCCACCAACACCACCACCCCCCCAACCCCTTTCCCTGCCAACCCATGCCCTACTTTTCTACTAGGCTAATTTCTACTCATTCTTTAATTTCTCCAGGAACATTTCCCAACCCCACAAGTCTGTATGAGGTACTCCTTCCATGTGTTCCCACAGCATTTGAACTTACCTTCACATAGCACTCACCGCAGTATAGTGTTGTAATTGTCAAGTTCCAAGTCTATATCTTCTGCTAGTCTGCAAGAAGGAATGTGATCCATATTTGCTCATTGGAATTTCCTCAATTCCTAACACAGTCCCAGGCATACAGCAGGTACTCAGTGCATATCTGTTGAAGGAATGAGAAATGAATCATCATGTCTCCAGCTAGGTTCACCATTATGAGAAATATGTAGTAAAGTACCTATTATGTGCATTTTACTACCTAAACTTTTCTTTAAAAAACTGAATCTGTCCCCTGGTCTTATCTACCAATGCCATCATCCTAGTTGAGATATATATTATTTCCTGACTGGGATACTACAGCAGCTTCAATCTCAATCCTCTTTGCTCTGTTCTGCACACAGCTACCACAATGATCTTTCTAGAAGCAAATCAGTTCATGTCACTACCAAGATTAGATTAGTTGGTTCACTATAACCTATAGGACATTCCAAGACCTGAGCATGGCAAAACAGAGCCTCCATGACCTGGCTCCTATCAACCTCTTCTCCAGCTACATCAACCACCACTGGCCCACCAGCACTTACTCTCCAGCCTTAAGGAACTAATTGCTGCTCCCCCCAATCCCGCCAAATGCCTTGGCTTCTCATCATGCTACAAATTCCTTCACACACACACTTTGTCTCCAAGTAGCTTACCTGATTCACTCCTATTCTTTCAACAAAATGTTCATTGACTATTTATTATACATCATGACCAAGTACCATCTAACCCACAAATATAAGGTTGGCTCAACATATAAAAAAATCAATTTATGTAGGATGGCATATTAACAGAAGGGGGGGGGGGGGGCGGAGGCAGGGAGGGGTTCAACCATCATCTTAATCACACAGAAAAAGGATCATCTGACAAAAATCCAATGCACTTTCACAAAAATAAATTCAATAAAGTAGAAGTACAAGGAAACTTCCTCATCCTGGTACAGTGCATCTATGAAAAACTCAGATATATAGAAACACTAAAGCATCCACCAAAATGTGTGTTGGGGAAGGGACTAAACTGAACCCTATTTGAATATCCAATAAATGGGCTCAGCAAAGTTACAGGATCCAAGATCAACATGCAAAAATCAGTTGCATTTCTATACACTGGCAGCTAACAAACTGAAAAGGAGGTTAAGAAAATAATTCCTGGGCTGGGGATGTGGCTCAAGCGGTAGCATGCTCGCCTGGCATGCGTGTGACCCGGGTTCGATCCTCAGTACCACATACAAACAAAGATGTTGTGTCCGCTGAAAACTAAAAATAAATAAATATTAAAATTCTCTCTCCTCCCTCCCTCCCCCCCCCTCTAAAAAAAAGAAAAGAATTCCTTTTATGATAGCATCAGAAAGAATAAAATTCTGAGGAATAAGTTTAACAAACACGTGTAAGATGTGTACTCTGAAAACATTGAAAAGACATTGCTGAAAGTTATTAAGAAGACCTAGATAAATGTAAAGTATTCCATGGTGATGGGTTGGGACACTTAGTGTTGATAAGGTGGCCATAATCTCCAAGGCAACATACAGATTCAGGGTGAAGCCTGGTGGAATCCAACCTGCCTTCTTTGTAAAAAACTGACAAGCTGATCCTAAAATTCATGTGGAAATACTGAGGACCTGGATGCCTCAAACATGCTCAAAACAGAAGAACAAATTCGGAGCACTCACACTTCTCAACTTCAAAACTTACCAGAGAGTTACAGTAATACAAAAATCGTGGTATTAGCATCATAATAGACATATATGTTCATGTTATAGAACTTAAAAGTCAGAAACAAACCCACATATTTATGTATAGTTGATTTTAAGTAAGGGAAAAAGAATAATCCCTTCAACAAATGATTCTGGGGTGATTGTACAGACACGTGAAAAAGAATGAACATGGACCCCTGTGTCACACCATATAAAAAACTAACTCAAAATGGATGGATCACAGATCTAAATGTAAGGACTAAAACTTTTTTAAACTCTCTCTCTCTTGAGTTAGTTTAACAAGATTTATTTGTACAGAATACCCTTGGCCTCAGTTCCCATCCTTGATAAGAATGGTGCTTTTAAAAATATCTTTGTTTATTCATTTTTATGTGGTGCTGAGGACCGAACCCAGTGCCCTACACGGGCAAGGCAAGCACTCTGCCACTGAGCCACAACCCTGGCCCATCTTTTTTAAACTCTTAGGGAAAAACAAAAACAAAAACAAAAACAAAAACCATAGATGTAAATCTCTGTGAACCTTGGATTAGGCAACAGTTCCTTCACCATGACACCAAAAGCACAACCACAAAAGCATTTTCTTTTTGCAAATTGGACTTCATCCAAATGGAAATCTTTTGGACACCAAAGGACTCTTATGTAGAGAGTGAAAGGACAACCTGCCGAATGGGGAAAATATTTACAAATCACATAACATATCTGAAAAGGGTCGGGTTTCCACAATATACAAAGAACTCTATAGCAAAATGGCATTCAACCCAATTTCTAAAAATGGGCAAAGAGCTTAAATGGACATTCCTACAAAGCAAATGCACAAAGGGCCAAGAAGCTCAGGGAAAAATGCGCAACATCATTAGCCATTTGGGAAATGCAAATCAAAAGGACCATGAAGAAGCACTTCACACCCGCTTGGATGGTTATTATTCAGAAAACAAAGCAAAGAGAAAACAGCAAGTTTTCAAATAGAGGATGTTCAGAAATTAGGATGCTGACACACTGATGTTGGGAATGCTGCTGTGGAAATCAGTTTGGCAGTTAGTCAATAAGTTCAGCATTGAATTACCATATGGCCCAGGAATCCCACTCCTAGATATAGACACCAAAGAATTCTAAACAGGTGTTCAAACAAAAACCCAAACAGGAATGCTCACGGAAGTACTATTCACAATCGCCAAAAGGTGTATGTCATCACCTGTCCATCAACTGATGAGTGGATACACAAAATGTGGTGTATGCATACAATGGAGTATTATTCAGGTGTGAAAAGGTACAAAGTGCTGATTCGTGCTGCAACGTGGATGAACCCTCATGCTAAGCAAATGCAGTCGGACACGAAAGGCCACACATTTAACTCTGATTGCACGTATAGTTTCCGTCCAGCATAGGCAATTCTCTATGGTAAGAAAGCACATTAGTGGCTGCCAGGGGCCCTCAGGAGCAATGTGTGTGTGTGTGTGCGCGCCCGCGCAGGTGTGCACACGCAAGAGCGAGGGGGGGTGGGGGGGAGGGGAAGACAGCTTAAGGGGTACCGGGTGTTTCTGGGGGGCGGTGTAAGTTTCTTGGAAGTAGATGGTCCTGGCAGTGGTACAGCACTGTGATGGGACATACTTGACGCCTCTGACTCGCACCCCCCAGTCCTCCTCTTCTTCCCTAGACTGCTCCCCTCCAGCAGAAAGTGAGAGCTCCTGTGCCAAGATGGGAGGGCCCTGGCCAGTGAGGAGGCTAGGAGGCCAGGAGGCCTGGAGGCCAGGAGGCCTGGAGGCCATCTGGCCGCCCCGTCTAGGCCCAGGCCCAGGCCCAGGCCCAGGCCCAGGCCCAGGCCCAGGCCCACGCACTGCGGACCAGCCGGGGAGTGCTGACATCACCAGAGCGCGTCATCGCCGACCAATGAGGGGGCAGCCGAGGGTCGCTAGGATACGGGGGCCCTGGAGCACTGGACCCAGACTACCTGCCGCACCCACTGAGCACCCACCGTTGGCGTCTAAACCGGCATCACATCGAGCCAGGCAAAGCCCAGTCCAGCTGAGCTGAGCAGAGGGAGCCCAGTCCAGCCGAGTCAAGCTGAGCAGAGCAGAGCTGAGCAGAGCTGAGCAGAGCTGAGCAGAGGGAGCCCAGTCCACCTGAGCTGAGCCCAGCATGCCAAGGCAGAGGAGCCCTGGAGGAGGAGGAGGAGGAAGAGGAGGAGGAGGAGCAGCAACAGCAGGAGGAGGAGGAGCAGCAGCAACAGGAGGAGGAGGAAGAGGAGGAGGAGGAGCAG